AGTTATCATAAATTAATTCCCATAGTTGCTTTTCCCAACCTTCGCTTGGGTTATTCACACTTCAGCCACATTGCAACCGTTCGTCATATTGCCCAACAGCCTAATCAGCAGAAATATGACCAGATCAATGTTCACACGGTTGCTAGCACGGGTCGCTGTATCAGCAAAGCAATAGCTATTGCTATTGCTAGAAGTCACTGCACCATCATCGGCGTGATGTCAACATCACTAGCGCCACTATTCTCGGAACACCGCAGTCAATCGTCATCTTATTTAACAGCGTCAGCACAAACAAGAAATTACAACATATGAGCAACGCCGGAGTTACAATTCTGTCACAGCCACTATTCGCCGGCAGCGCGGCAGCAGCATCGCGCTGTGCTGTAGGTTAGGTGTTAGCTAAAAGTTAAGTAGGGAGTCAGTTCTAATTTAGACTCATAGCTGACCCAACGGCAGCGTTGTAACAAATAAGTAAATAATAAATAATAATAAAAACAAATAATAAAACGAATAAACGGTTTACTGGCGCCCAACGTGGGGCCTCGCGGTAAGCATCAGTGAATACAAAAAAGGATACATTTCCGAAGACAAATACAAATCAACAATCAACAAGCATCAACTTAAGAGAATACACCCAAATACAACAAGGGATAAATTTCCAAGGACAAATCAACAAGCATCAACTTAAGAGAACGTAAACATTTGAAGGCAACGAAGGATCAATTCATTAATTCCCGGGACGAATCAAGAATTTATCAATTAAGAATGAAGAGGTGAGTGAAGTGCTTAAAGGTATTTTTTTCTAAGAGTAGTGTGAAATTGAATAAAAATAAAATTAAAAAACGCATAAGGTAGAATTGAGGTTTCGTTTGCGAAAGTTAAATGAGTGAAGGGTTAGAGAATATTTTTAAGAATTTAAGATTAGCAGCAGAGAGCACAGCCACCATGAACGTAGATCAGGTTAACGAAATAGTTAAAGCAGAAGTTAGGAGAGCCTTGGAGGTACAGAAATTAGATTTTGACAGAAAGATACTCGCTTTACAAAACCAGGTAGCAATAAATAAGCCTAAGGTAGAGAAATATAGTAGGGTAACAATTAACCCTTTGACAACATGTGACATTACACTCGACGCGATAAAATCCCTTCCCGAATTTTTCGGTCACCAAGGTACTTTATGTGTCTTGGCGTGAGGCCGCGAATAACGCGTATGAATTATTTAAAAGATACGATGGCAGCGAACGCCACTACCAAGCGGTAACTATTATCAGAAATAAGGTGCGAGGTGCTGCTGATGCGGTACTTTCCTCTTTCAACACGGTGCTCAACTTTAATGCCATAATCTCCCGACTTGATTTCACCTACGCGGACAAACGTCCGATATATTTGATAGAGCATGAACTGNCGTCCGATATATTTGATAGAGCAGGAACTGTCCACATTAAGACAGGGCTCGATGGCATGCTTAGAATTCTACGACGAAGTGGAAAAGAAGCTAACCTTATTGGCAAATAAGACGATAATGTCCTACGAGAGCGGTGTAGCAGACACCATTAATGAGAAATATAGAGCGGATGCGCTCAGGGTGTTTATTTCAGGGTTAAGAAAACCCTTATGCGATATCCTGTTCGCATCCAGACCATCAGACCTTCCGTCGGCCTTGGCTTTGGCACAGGAGGTTGATGCCTATAATGAGCGGTATGCCTTTGGGATGAATTTCGCAAATAGATATCAGGAAAAACCAATCGGGACTCAGAACCCTGTTAACCAGAAGTCACCTAACCTTGAGCACGGTGTGGGCCACAAGAATCCACATTATTCAGTAGGTAAACAAGGAAAACAAGTTAGTCGCCCACAGAACTACGGAAACACCCAGAGACCATTTGCAAATAGTAATAATTCGAGTCAAAGGCGCGTGGAGCCTATGGAAGTAGATCCTTCCATATCCAAATTTAAAAACCCGACCAATAACCCAAGCCAGGACCATTACGGTAGGCCACAGGGGAACTTGCAAAAGCGGGCAGCGAACTCAGGACGGTACACCGGAGCTAAAATGCAGCGCGTTAACCATCTTACAGAAGATCAGGACTCGCAAAACGAATCCTCATACAACAATGAGGCAGAGCAGGTGGCCGACAACATTGAAACAGATGAGGTTAATTTTTTAGGGCAAAATCCCTCCTTCCTTGGATNAACAAGGAGGCGGAGCAGGTGGCCGACAACATTGAAACAGATGAGGTTAATTTTTTAGGGCAAAATCCCTCCTTCCTTGGATTTCAAGGACAATAGGAGGGAAAGAGATTAAAGTTCCTATTACGGTTTACAAGTCAACTCAGTTGAATTGAAATTGAAACAACTCAACTTTAAAACAACTTAACTCTTTTTTGGCATTACGAATTACAACTCACTTCAGTTGAAGTTGTATTGATGTTGCCAACCTAAAAAAGTGACGATTTGACGATAATTAAACAGCTGATGCTTTTGTGGCGAAAAATTAAAACAATATACCTTATTTAAGGTTTACGAGAGAGTGTTTTTTTTTTCAAATAAAAAGTAAAATGGACATAAGCGTTGATTTATTTTACAACGATGAAAATGTTGGTCCCAAAACTGATGTGCTGCGCATACGGAAAAGGCTTCGTGATCACTCGAATCCTTTGGAACTTCCAAGCACCAAGTAAGAAAAATTGTAGCGACAATTGAATGGCATTTTAATAATGTTTTTTTGCAGATTCATAAGCTACTTTCGTTTAAATAAGGAAGCATTTGTCTTTTTGCTAAACGAGATGGATGAACATTTCCAGAAACGTGTGCGAGGAACGGCTGTACCTCCCATATTGAAATTATGTGCAACTCTCAGGTTCCTTGCTGACGGCAGTTATCAAAAGTGCAGTGGAAATGATTTTAATGTTGGACTGGCGCAACCTACAATATCTGTAGTTATTAAGGAGGTTTTAAATATAATTGAGCAGCATATTTGTGGAAAATGGATTACAACCCAAATGACTGAAGAGGAGCAAAACGCGTCAAAAATTGCATTCTATTCAAAAAGCGGATTCCCCGGAGTAGTGGGTTGTATCGATGGGACTCACGTTCGCATCATTTCACCAAAAAAAGAAATGCAACATCTTTATCTAAACAGGAAAGGCTACTACAGTTTAAACGTCATGATTGTAAGTGAAAATGTAAAAAGCAAATAATACTTTAAAAGAAAATGGTCATGACATCTATTTCGATTTCAAACTTTGCGATTACAAAATGGCTATCCGGTATGTGGATGCTAGGCACGCGGGTGCAAATCACGATTCCTTTGTTTTTAACGTAAGCGATTTGAAAGAGCATCTGCAGAGAAACATACAGAGTAATTCCTGGATTTTAGGTAAGACTGGTCATTAGTATTTAATACAAAAATATATTGTTTAAAATATTCCTTAAAGGCGACGCTGGTTACCCTCTACAAACTTTTTTAATGACTCCTTTCCGCATGGCAGAAGCTGGTTCACCACAAGCTCGCTACAATACAATACACTCTAAGGCTCGAAATATTGTAGAACGGACGATTGGAATATTGAAAAGCCGATTTCGTTGTCTTTTATCTGTGCGTGGCTTACATTATTCACCAGCAAAATCTACACAAATTGTGAACGCTTGCTGCGCTTTGCATAATATTTGTCAACACTTTCGCGTGGAACTTTCTGAAGAAATTGCAACCGCTTCAAGTACGGAAATAAGCAATGAAAACCTGAACATTGAAACAGAAGACGAGGATGCCGCCAGAAGAATTCGCAATAATATTTTGGTATCCATTTAATAGAAATAAAAACTCTAACTCACATTTAATTATTTGTACTTCATTCAGTCTTCTTTTATTTTCAATGGTTAAATAACTTATATTTAATATTCATTAAATATCACTTCATGTGCTCTTAAAATTAGGTTTTTCAAAATAGTTAATTTAAATAGTATCACTTCATGTGCTCTTAAAATTAGGTTTTTCAAAATAGTTAATTTAAAAAAGTATCACTTCATGTGCTCTTAAAATTAGGTTTTTCAAAATAGTTAATTTAAAAAAAAATATCACTTCATGTGGTCTTAAAATTAGGGATTGCAAAACCTATAATTAATAAAAAAAAAAATATTACTTCATGTTGTAAAATTAAATTTAAAAATATTTCAAATTATTAAATTAAAGCCCTTTCAATGTTTGTCAAATAAACATCAGTTCTCCATTCACGAGCTGTTCTTGTCTTGCAAATAGCCTCTTAATTTAGCTATTTTTAATTGCTCAACCTCTACCTTCAACAAATGTAGTTCATGGGCTTCCCTAGCCTGCCTTTCAAACAATTTATATTTTTGTTGCTTTATGTGCAGCAATTTTTTATTAATGTCGTAATTTTTGTACGCCGTCTTTTCAATTCTATCAATTTTTTTTAGTACCTCTTTTTGCGTTTCTGCCTGCATTTTTAGGAGCTCTAGACGCTCAGTTTCTAAATTGCAGCTTCTGCGGCGATTTTGTACACGCGATGCTGACGAAGAGGGCCGATCTTCAATGTTTGCTACCTGGGGCAAATCAACCATTGACGAAGCTGCAACTAAGCCGTCTTCTATTTCTTCGCCATCCATCACCGGTGGTATATTCTCTACCCCGAACGCCCGGCCACTGACTGCAACTTGTTCCCTTATCTGAATAAGTTCCGCAACACTTTCTTCTAGTGGATTTAAAGAAACCTCTTGCGACGGACCACCACCAGTTGCAAGAATATTGCTGCGATTGTTGGCAAGCTTCCTTTTTAAATTTGCCTTATAGTGTATCCAAACCTACAGGAGAAGAAAATTATTGCGCTTTCATTGTATTGGTCTAATTCCATGATTACTACTTACTCGTCCCCACTCGTGCGCAGTTCTTGTTGGTGGTGCTAAACTGTTTAGCTCTATGGCAAATTGCTCCCACAATCCCTTGCTTTTACTTTTGCTGCTTCCAAATTGCGGCTTGCCTCGTCCAGTTTCGGGATGCTTCTCCATCAGCTCAACTAGTTTTCAAACTGTTGTTTCGTTGTAAGTTTATTTTTTCTACAAATTTGTAAGAAATTCCTGATTAAGATATTGGTTTAAGACAAATTAAAAAAATTTAATTACCCGCTTTCCATTTTCGCTTAAAAATTTTTCAAAACAACTGCTAGTAATGAGTTGTCGATTTTCGATACTTTTGTCAACCGAACTAGCACAGGGTGGTAAACGGTAATACCACAAAAAAGTTGTAAGACGATATAAATACAACCTAAAATTTTTTGACAGGTTGAGTTGTTATCGATAATACCAAATTGTAAGTTTTCAACTGAAATGGAGTTGAGTTGTAAACCGTAATAGGGGCATAAGTTCCTTGTCGACACCGGGGCATCCAGAAGCTATATCAAGCCCCTCCCAGGACTAAAGGGAATAAAAAAGGTGGAAAATTCATTTTTGGTAAAGTCAATTCATGGGGTGACTCCCATTAAACACAAATGTAAAGTTAGAATGTTTGGGGTGGTAGCAGAATTTTTTCTGCTACCCAATCTGTCTTCATTTGACGGTGTTATTGGCCTGGACCTGTTAAACAAGGTCCATGCAGCCATTGATCTAAAAACAAATACGATAACACACGATTTTGGCAAGGAAATTATTTTATTTGTATCCAGCGAGGATGTTAGTCACTTGCAATTGCAGGCCAAGCAGGTCCCACAAAATTTAGAGGAGGCCTTCTCCAAAATGATAGGAAATATAAATGGGGTATTTGCAGACCCAAACGAGGCACTACCGTACAATACAAACGTAGTAGCAACGATTAGGACCACTGATGAGGACCCGGTATACTCAAGATTTTACCCATACCCATTAGGTGTTTCCGATTTTGTAAATAAGGAAATTCAAGAGCTGTTGGCGAACGGCATCATACGACCATCAAGGTCCCCATACAACAACCCTATATGGGTAGTAAAAAAGAAAGGCCTTGACGAGAATGGCCAAGAAAAGAAACGAATGGTTATAGATTTTCGAAAGCTGAACGATAAAACCATCAGTGATAAATACCCGATATTACAGGGATCTTATCAAATCTAGGGGGGAGTAAATTGTTCACTACTCTTGATCTTAAATCGGGTTTCCATCAGATCAACCTGTCAGAACCGGATAGAGAGAAAACCGCATTCTCTGTAAAAAATGGAAAGTACGAATTCTGCAGGTTGCCTTTCGGTCTAAAGAACGCCCCCAGCATTTTTCAAAGGGCAATAGACGATGTGTTAAGAGAACACATAGGAACGAAATGCTTCGTCTATATGGATGATGGCATTATATTTTCAAAAAATGAAGAACAACATTTAAAGGATATAGAAGTAATTTTAAGAAGTCTGTTCGAAGCCAACATGAGGGTGTCAGCAGAGAAATCCAAATTTTTTAAAACCGAAGTTGAGTTTTTGGGATTCCTGGTTTCACAGAGCGGAATAAAAACATGTCCGGATAAAGTGGACTCAATTCGTAATTTTCAGGAGCCTACTACCCTGAGGGGGCTAAGATCATTTTTGGGTCTAGCGGGATACTACCGTTGTTTTATAAAGGATTTCGCTAAGATAGCGAAGCCACTTTCAAATATAATGAGGGGTGGATATGGCCGAGTTACTGCGTCACAGTCGAAAAACATTCAAATTGATCTGACTGATGAACAGAAAAAAGCTTTCACCACCCTTAAGGAAATACTTGCATCGGACGAGGTTACACTAACCTACTCCTGATTTTAAGAAATCGTTTCAATTAACTACTAACACGCAATAGGTGCTGTCTTATCGCAAGAAGGAAAACCTATAACGATGATTTCCCGCACTTTAACCAGTAGCGAGAAACATTTTGCCACAAACGAGAGGGAGTTGCTGGCCATCGTTTGGGCACTAAAAACACTCAGAAACTACCTTTATGTTGTGACGAACCTCACTGTTCACACAGATCACCAGCCGCTCACTTTCGCAGTTTCAGACAGAAATCCAAACTCAAAAATAAAAAGATGGAAAGCATTCATAGACGAATGCAACGCGAAGCTCATTTATAAACCAGGCAAAGAGAATGTAGTCGCAGACGCATTGTCTAGGCAACACATGAACGCCTTGGATAACATGAGCACCGAAACGATTCACAGCGAGGAATCGTCGACTAACACAATTGAAAGAACAGATAAGCCGGTGAACTGCTTCCGTAACCAGATAGTGGTAGAGGAAGGAATCACACCGGGAAAAAGAACATTCATTATTTTTGAAAAAAAAACCCGACATTTAATCACATTTAAAGATAAAAGAGATCTGATCAGCCTCCTGCAAGAAGCGGTAAAATCGGATGTAGTCAATGCAATACATTGCGACCTACACACGCTTGCCCTATTTCAGGATGAACTGGTTAGACTCTTTCCAACAACCAAGTTCAGGCATACAGAAAAATATGTCAACGATATATTCGACATAAATGAGCAACAGGAAATAATCGCAGCTGAGCATAATCGAGCACATCGAGCAGCCTAGGAGAATATGAAGCAGATACTGGAAGACTATTTTTTCCCAAAAATGGGAAAAAAAGCTTCACAATTTGCTGCCAACTGTCGCACATGCTCTAAAGCAAAGTACGATCGCCATCCACAAAAGCAACTCATCGCACAGACGACCATTCCCTCATATTGCGGAGAGATACTCCACATAGACATATTTTCAACGGGTTCTAAATATTTTCTGACTTGCATCGACAAGTTTTCAAAGTTTGCTATCGTGCAAACTTTAAAGTCTAGAACAATAGTAGACGTGAAGCCGCAGCTTCTCCAAATACTTAATATGTTTTCGGGCACGAAAACTGTGTACTGTGACAACGAAAAGTCACTAAATTCTCAAAGCATCAAATCCACATTTAAAAATCACTTCAATATCGTCATAGTACGTCAAACGGTCAGGTAGAGCGATTCCATAGCACCCTGATGGAAATATCGCGATGCCTTAAACTCGATACCAACATGGACGATATCGAGGAGATAATCCTTTTGGCCACAATAAAATACAACAGATCCATTCACACTGTGACTGGGACGAAACCCATCACTATTTTCCGTCCAGGAAAAGAAGACAAGCAAATAATGTCCTGCATAAAAAATGCACAAGATAAAGAATTAAGAACCCATAATAAGAACAGACAGGATAGAGCGTTCGAGGTAGGTGAAAAGGTCCTAGTCAAAAATAATAGAAGACTAGGCAATAAACTTACACCTCTCTATACCGAAGAGGAGATCGAAAAAGATCTCGGCACTACGGTGCTCATAAGAGGAAGGAGGGTCCATAAGGACAACCTTCGGGGAAGCTGAATTATTATTAGTCGCTAATGGAAACGTATTTATTACAGGATTGTTTTGACACTGGTTATGGCAATATCGGCATCGTTATCAACGGGACGAATAATAGACTACACGAACGCAAAGTACATTCCAGTGGTTGATGGAGACCTTATAATCTGGGAAAACTTCGGACACATCAAACATATTACTAACCTGACCCTATACGAACTGTTACGGGACGAAACGTCTAACGCTACGGACCATTTTCCAAGAACGCACATGAGAAAGTTATTAGACGCAGACATAAACCAAATAGACAGACTTTTACAACTGTTAAATACCCACCACAGGCAGGCAAGAAGTTTGAACGCACTCGGAACAATACTAAAATATATTACATGTACCCCAGACCACGACGACTTCGACAGACTGACTAACACAGCAGAGCAACTAATCGACTCACAGGACAGACAGTTTACCATCAACACGGAGTTGCAGAAAGAAATTAACGACCTTACTACTACGGTAAATAAAATATTAAAGTCAGCAAAGCAGAAAGAAATAGATACGGGTTACCTTTACGACATACTTACAGCCAGAAACAGGGCAATAATAACAGAATTAGATAACGTAATCACCTCCATCACTTTCGCGAAAATCGGGACTCTTAATCCCATCCTTTTGGATAGCTCAGAAATAAATTCAGTTATAAAAACACAACACTTCACAAGCCTCAACGTAGCCGATATAGTACCTTTAACTAGAGTTAAGATTGTTCAGTATAATAATGCAATATACTTTTTAATAAAATATCCTATACCTAGATTTAGATGTAAGAAAACAATAATTTACCAGTAGCGCACGGCAATGAAATTCTACACCTGCAGGAACCTACCTTAGCTACATGCGACAACCACACAGTGGCTGTAAAGAATTGTAGCAACACAACTCCGGCATTTTGCTTAGCATCATCAGCCAAATCATGCGCGTTGCAACTAATGACACACAACACCGCCAATTGCGGTACGACGTTTAATAATCTCTCACCCATTACAACGATAGGAGACGGCCTGATTGTTGTTAATGATCAAATTGCGGTAATAGAAGAAATCGATGATGTTCCAGTTACAGTCAACGGGACTTACCTGGTGACCTTCGAGAGACAGGTAAAGGTTAACGGAACTTTATTTTATAATGTATAAAAAATGATTAAAATTAAAAAAAATACAATATATGGAATACAAGGTGGAAATTAATAGAGGTGATAGTCGTTTAATGTGGAAAGAAGTTCTAATCAACGGCAAAATATATAGAAATAGTACTGAAATTGCTAACAAGTTAAACAATTTCTTTGTTGATAGTATCATCGATATTAATAGAAATATAGAAAATGTTAATTATGAAGCCTTCAGTTGGGAATAGTTCCGACAGAATGGAAAACTTCGACCATTGTCCCAATAAAAAAGGGCAAGAACACCATAAAATCGTAGGAACTCAGGCCAATAAACACCCTTCCCAACTTAGGAAAAATACTGGAATCGGTTGTAAAAAATCAACTAATAAACTATATTGAGTAAAATAAAATATTCATTAAGGAGCAGTCAGGTTCTAGGGCTAATCACTCATGCGAAACGGCGCTAAACTTGATCTAATCACAATGGAAGGAGGACCTGAATTCCAAGAAGACTATCTTGGCGGTGTTTGTGGACCTTAAGAGAGCCTTCGATACGAGCGACAGGGAAGTAATGCTAAAAAAAAATCTAAAATATTGGTATAGATAACATCGAACTTACATGGTTCCGTAGTTTTCTTTCTGATAGGAAGCAACAAACGGTGAT